GATGGGATGGGATGGGATGGGATGGGATGGGATGAGTGTGTGTGTCAGCCTGGAGAAGGGAAGGCTCCAGAGAGGCCTTGGAGCCCCTTCCAGTGCCTGAAGGGGCTCCAGGAGAGCTGGGGACGGGGGCTCCAGAGACCTGGGACAAGGGATGGAGAGACAGCACGCAGGGAATGGCTTCCCACTGCCAGAGGGCAGGGAGAGATGGGATACTGGGAAGGAATTCCTCCCTGGGAAGGTGATGAGGCCCTGGAATGGATTTCTCAGAGGATGCCCCTGGATCCCTGGGAGCGTCCAAGGCCGGGTTGGATCCCCCTGGGATGGTGGGAGGTGTCCCTGCCCAGGGCAGAGGTGGGATGGGATGAGCTTTAAGGTCCCTTCCAACCCAACCCAACCATTCCATGATTCCGTGGCTGCCAGCAGATGTCCAACCCTCTGGTTTCCTCTCCTTGCAGCTGTGATCAGCTCCAGCTCCGGCCTGGCCGGCGGGGCCGGCCTGGGAGGAGGATTTGGTGGACTGAGCCTGAGCGGGGCCGGCGGGAGCGGTTTCGGCCTCGGAGGAGGAGGTGGAAGCGGGTTTGGCCTCGGAGGAGGAGGTGGAAGCGGGTTTGGCCTCGGAGGAGGAGGTGGAAGCGGTTTTGGCCTCGGAGGAGGAGGTGGAAGCGGTTTTGTCCTCGGAGGAGGAGGTGGAAGCGGTTTTGTCCTCGGAGGCGGAGGCGGAGGAGGAGGAGGAGGAGGAAGCTACAGCTTTGGAAGTGGAGGAGGACTCGGACTCGGGGGTGGAGGTGGTCTCGGAGGTGGATTTGGAGGCGGCCACGGAGCAGGAGGCGGCGGCAGCAGCCTGAGCACCAGCGGGGGCAACTTCAGCTCCGGGAGCGCCAAAGGCACCAACCCCGGGGTGAAAATCGTCTCCAAAACCTCCTCCAGCAAAAAGAGCATAAAGAGCCAGAGCCTGAAGAACGCCACGGAGCCCGAGTAAAACCCAGCCCGGCCCCTTCCCAGACCATCCTCCTGCTCCTGCCCCTCCTGCCCCCGTCCTGCCCCTCCGTCCCCTCGCCCGCCCCGGCCCAGCTCCGCAGTTCTCACACCTCCGAATCACAGGCCGAGGGAAACGCCTCGACCGGAGCTCCCCGAGCCCTTGAAACGGGATTAAAAGGAAAACGTGGGCCTAAGGGACTGTTCCAAAGGGGAATCGGTTTGTTTTTCCGTTTGTTTGTTTTCAATGAGGCCAAGAAGTTTGTAGTTGTGGCCACCCAGCAGCCTCAGCCGAGACGGAGCGGAGAGCAGGGAGTGAGGAGGCAACAAGTGGGGTTTTAGCTCAGTCCTGCTCCCCAGAAGCCCAGGGATGGGCTGGGAATGTGGTTTTAACTCCCCCTGCACCGCTGGGATGGTCCCAACTTGCTCCTCCACGTTCAGGAGCTCCCCTTTGCCGGGGGTGGGGGTTGTTTTTCTGCTGTGCAGAAACACCCCGGGAGGCCGCCGAGAGACCCCAGGCAGTGGTTTGTGAGCGTGAGGCCCCCCTTAAAAACATCCCTCATGCTGGGAGCACAGAGCCTGCTGGGAGCCACTCCAGCGGGATGGAAAATCCCTCTTTTCCCCATTCACGGCCAGGGTTGGAAAACCAGGATCCTCCAGGCCCCTGAGCCCAGCCAGGGGTTCAGAGTGATAAAATCAGGGAGCAGCCTGAGGTGCCTCCACCTGAAAAGTGCCACCCTCAGGAGGTGGGGGGTGATTTGAGTTGCCACGAGCTTATCCAAAGGCTTTTCCCACATTTCTCTCCCATTCCTGTCCTGGGCACCTCCCACGTGACCTCATGGATGTGCTTTGCCAGAGGGTTCAGCGGTGGCTGATCCCAAACTTATGGAAAAGGCCCCGTTTTCCAAACTGGAGGATTTTTCAAGTTCTAAACGATGTGTGAGACAAAGAGTCCTTCGAAAGCAAGGGCAGTGTTTGTAGAACTGGGTTTCTGTCCTGTCTCATGAGGGTTTTTTTTTTGCTGGAATGGCTCAAAAAATTCCCAGATCATCCCACAGTCCAAGTCCCCCCGACCTTTCCCGCTGCCTCGGTCGAGGTGAAAGGCTGAGCCGGTGGAAATCACCCTGGAAAAGCTGCCTGAAGGGCCTGGTCCACCTCTCCTGGGGGAATTCCAACTTCTCCCCCCCGTCTGGGCTCCTCTGCCGAAGGAAAGACCTTTTGGGAAACTGGGAAGTGCAGCAGGTGGGAAGCAACGGGGAGCAGGATCCCAAAGGAACCCCGGAGCCCCAAATCTGATTTCCCCTTTCCTGATGGAATTTGCCCCTCTGACCTCCCACCGTCTCTTCTTGATTTTTGGAAAGTCCCATTAAAAAAAGAAAACTGCAGCTTTTGATACTTCCATGGTGTTTTCCTTGCCCTCTCTCTTTTTTGGGAACGTGTCCAATAAAACCAGATTGTAATTTATCTGTTTTTTTTATTTGCCCTTTTATTTACCTTTTTTATGTTCTAAACCAGAACCAGCAGCACGAAAACCATTCCCAACCTTCAGCAGAGCGAGCTGGAGGGTCACGTCACTTTGAGGGAAAAGCTTTAAATTCGGATAAAATCATCACAAAAATGTGGAAATTGGTTGTTTGTCCCAAAATAAATTGAGGAATTGGAGGAAACGGGAGAAGGTGGAAAAGGAGGATGAGGACAAGAAAGAGGAGGAGGAGGAGAAGGAGAAGGGAAGGAGAAGGAGAAGGAGAAGGAGAAGGAGAAGGAGAAGGAGAAGGAGAAGGAGAAGGAGATCTTTCTATGGATTGAGGAGATCCCCTCTCCAGA